ATTTCAGTTGTTTTTATCACGATGGCGATAAAAACAATTGAAAAGTGATACCTACCTTCTACATGGTATACAAAAGTTTTTTTTTTATACAACTTAGAATGGCAAACAAGCTGACGGCCCACCTGATGTAAAGTGGTAACCGTCGCCTATAGACATGAGCAGTACCATGGACATAACAGAGTATACTGTTTTGCCCAAGATACCCCCCATGCGTTGCCATACCTGAGGACTCAGGTGTTATTCCTCTGTACCCAGTAAATTCACGCCATATCCCACCCTACAAACCGAAACACAGCCATACAAACACAACTACTTCACGGTTGAAACACGAATGGGACAGAGGTACCCAAGCAATCGACTTTTGTACAAAGTCTCCCTCTGGTAAAGTGGAAATTAAAACTCGTTATCATATTTAAATAATTTTAATCGCTTACCCTTATAATAAATACTTATAACATGCATCCACGTATATCTAACACGTAAGTAAATAAGCGTTTTTTTTGCTACAAAAACATAAAGAAACGTGATATCAAAACACGTCAAGTAGACGCATCTACTGTGTGCTCCGTTCCTAATTATATAAGGGCATGCACAAACGAGACTATGAGTGGAAATCCTTACCTATATTTTTCTATCCAAATAGGATCTGCACCACTTTAAAAATAAATGTGAATAAGCTATTCGTGGGCCCGCGAACTCCATTTTTGGCCACATCATCGCTCTCCATCAGGTGAGATGAAAAGAGACTTCTATTAATATTCAAGTAAAAAAACTCTTACAAACTTATGTGATCCTAGTACTTTTTTCTTAAACAAAACATCAAACCTTTTTAAGGATAAAGGGGGGGGGGGTAATTACATAAGGATTTTAGTCCATTGGGGACTAGTCGTGGTCGTCAGACTATGTAAAGTAATCCACGTTTTATATTACTGTTAATATATAAAACAAAACCGATTTTAATGATATTTTGCAAACGTGTATCGTTTGCTTCAACCTGAGAGACAGAAGAGAGTCTATCTCATTGGACCCAATAGGTGGCGGTAGAGAGCAAAGCAATATATGTAAACTCAGCTAGCCTAGTAAACAACTATTACTTATTTCTTTACAAAAAATACTTTTGTTTGAGAGATAAATACTAGGATTACATAAGCTCGTAGGAGGCTTATTTACTTGAAAGTACGGCATAAAAATATTAGTGGAAATTTGTTAAATAAATACTTTAATAATCCCTATTATGAGAAAACATCGGTTTATTTATTTTTTATTGTACACAAACAAGTTATAAGAAATTATATAAAAAAAAATAAAAATTATATAGATTAAGAGATTTCTTCCAGCAAATCTTTTCGAGTGAATTAAATTGTTATGTAGAAACTAAAATACATTTTTCTATTTTGACGGTCAAGAAAGTATGCAGAGGATTGTCCTTCGTTTGCCCATGCCCTATTCATAAACTTAGAACAGTGTTGGTGAGATGAAAATATTGTTCTAAGTTCATGATGCAAATATATACATATGTGTAATATATACAAACATATTTTGCAACTATAAAATACTAGTGTTAAAATTGCGACTTTTAAATGAGAAAACTGAACAAGTTTTTGCAAAATATCACTTTCATCGCATTTTATAAAATTGATATATGAAAATAACTTTATTTCACACAAATCGCATACATGGCAAGACTTAACAAGAAATATAGTTAAAACAAAGTATTTAAAAATTACAACTGATATTTAAGTGGTATTCGTTTCAAACTGAATCTTATTAACGGAACAAATAAAGAACATTATATTATGGCACAGTGTAGCTTAACCCTGAATCAATTTTAAAATTAAAAATTAAGTTACATTTATATTTCCTAATAGATTCCTTATTAAAATGATAATAATTTATATTATAATTTTTTGCAAAAAAAAATACATCTTAATTGCAAAATATCATATCTCATAGCGCGAACTGACACGATTCGAAATTTAAAACAGTCCATTTTCATTAAAAATTCAAATTATAAATTTAATACAAAACTAAAAATTTAAACTAAATTATATTCTTAAATGTCTCGTACTATGAACCGATACGATTCGATATAACTCGGCAATTTCATGACAAAAACAAATTAATGTTGCTCTTTGCACTACTGACAGCGAAATCCACTAGCACGTGTAATAGGCCCATTTTATTTTATGCAAATTAAAATGGCAAACAAGCTGACGGCCCACTTGATAGAAAGTGGTAACCGTCGCCTATAGACACGAGCAGTACCATGGACATAACAGAGTATACTGTTCTGCCCATGACACCCCCCCCCCCCATGCGTTGCCATTCCATTATATGTCCACTGTATATTTCTTTATGCAATTTTACATATCAAACAAACTGACGGCCCACCTAATCATCGCCTATAGACATAAATAGTACCATGGGCATTAAAGAATACACTGTAACAAACACGACACCCGTCGTGTGTTGCCATTTCTATGAATTAAATTATCTATACGCTGTAATTTCGTTGCCATATTTTTCACTAGTGGATATTTTCAACAAAAACACAATTTACCAATTTTTAGTGCCTGAATAACGTAGTGTAATTCACTTATATCAATTACAAGTCACATACAAACATCCATAAGAAAACAATCATCGCATAGTGTTGCCAACAGAGTGTTACAAAAACTACTAAATTAGTAGTAACTTCTAATTAAGAATTACCATAAAAATAGTGATGCACTTTTTAAATCCAAATACTAAACTAGTATAAACTAGTTACGTCGACTACATATAGTTGCCATTTTGTGCCAATACTTGCCTATCTAATTAAAGTTCACACAAAATATTGCACAAATGTTCGTTACGTAGGCCATGTTATCAACTATAATAAAAAATTATAATACAAAAAAAACTGTCGATGACACAGAATAAAAAAATATATACAATAACGATAATAAAAAAAAAAAAGATGGAACGTTAAAAACAGCGAATTTCAGTCCCATTCCAAATGTTCAACTTGTCACGCCACTGTATATATGAACACCCATCCGAACGGTGACGTTGCTTAACCTGATTAAGCGACGCCAACTTGTTCAATTACTACATAGATGTAACATTTCGTTATTCAATATCATTGACGGATTTGAATAGTATCAGATCTAACTGCGCTAAAATTCGTTTGCTCAATTTGATTGGACTATATCTCTGTTTTAATAAGGAAATACATTATACTCAAAAAAGAAATTGTTACTTCAATCTTAAACACCTATATGATATTTATCACAATAAATACTTAGTTATTTTTACTATAAAAAAGTGGCATATTTTATAAATAAACAGTGCAATGAACGATCAGTTCATAATTCTGAGAAATCGTTCGGATTGATACCTGCTGCTGATTTTCACCACCGTACAACCCGCCACAAACTAAAGTTTCATCCCAACCATCTGGACGAGTGGCGGTCTTCCACCGTGCGTTTTTCAAGGCACTTTCTTCCACGCACAACCACTCTTTGCAATCAACTTCCAGCAGCAATATTTCCGAACCGATACGACAACATGACATTCAAGAAAAGAGTATATTCCTTTTTAAAAGGCCGGCAGCACACCTGCAATGCCGCTGGTGTTGTGGGTGATCATGGGCGGCGGTAGTCACTTACCATCAGGTGAGCCGAATGCTCGTTTGCCGCGTGTTGTAAAAAAAAAATTCATGAGTAGGATGTAAAAGGCAAACGAATAGGGGTTTGAGCACACTGACCACAGAAATATAATAAATTCTAATTCTTATTTTCAAATAGCAAATAGTAGACAGTAGTAGCGAACGTGATATCACAACATTAGCTAGTAAAAAATCACAGTTATTTTTCACATGTGAAATCACACTGTTAATAAAAAAAATAATATCACTAAATGATAATTAATTAAAAGTAGCAATCACTTCTATGCGTAATAAAAATAATTGTAATGAGACTTTTGCAGCTGAAGTTAATTTAGTCAATATAATTTGCTTCTTTCACAATAATATCTTTTTTATCTATGGTTTCGTTACAGAATAACTTTTTTTATACAACTTAGAATGGCAAACAAGCTGACGGCCCACCTGATGGAAAGTGGTAACCGTCGCCTATAGACACGAGCAGTACCATGGACATAACAGAGTATACTGTTACGCCCATGATACCCCCCATGCGTTGCCATTCCTGAGGACTCAGGTGTCATTCCTCTGTACCCTGTAAATTCACGCCATATCCCACCCTTCAAACCGAAACACAGCCATGCAAACACAACTGCTTCACGGTAGAAACACGAATAGGACAGAGGTACCCAAGCAATCGACTTTTGTACAAAGTCTCCCTCTGGTAAATCTGATACCACGCTAAAAGCATAGAGTATAAATAGTCCAATCAAATCATAACTCCATTACACCACCGTTTGTAAAGCATAATAATGGCAAGAATTGTCAAAAACAACAATTTAACTCTATAAAATAATGAGTATTAATTAAAATTAACGAAAACACAACGTGTCCACGATCACAACGTTAATAAAATGTCTTTTTATAAACTTTAATTGTAAAATAAAGTTGTAAACTTAAATAATACGTAGTGACTCGTATACAGCTAAACTACAAAAGCTGTAATATACAATTACTTATGGCAAAATTACAATATAATAATGATTATGTAAAAATTACACTGCTTAATACATAAATTCATAAATAAAATTTACCGAGTATACATTTATATAAAATAACTTATATATCTAAAACAAACTGTATCACTGGATTGGGCAATACTGAAATAGTCATTCCGTTTTGTTCCGGATCACAATTCACGTATCGGAAGCAACCGAAAAATATCTTTCGTCAATTCCAATCATGTATTAAAAAAAATATACAAAATCATTTTAATATCGGAACAAATTGGAACAAGTAGAGTTTTACGACGCCGATAACTTAATTATATATATATATATATATATATATATATATATATATATATATATATAAAATCATTAATCACAATATATAATTCGAAAACGCACGTTTCAACGTCTGTTCATAGCACACAACAACACATTTAATTATAAAAAAAAAAAAAAAATTAATAATAATATTAATTCTATGTGGATAAATTAATAATAAACATTGTCATGGATTCTCGTCTAACGTCTCGCGCTAACTTTATATCACTGCGTTTCATTATAATATTAATAATAACACATAATGCATTTATAATATACGCTTCGTTACAAACGCCAATATCTACTATAATTATCGTTACATCGTTAACGTTTAAGAATCAACGTGTTACATGATTTATACAAGAATGATAATTACCTGCTACAATGATAAATAGTGTTACAATAACGTGTTTTTAACGTGTTCTCCGTCGCAACTCACCCGTTTCAACGGCGAAAAGGACCGAAGAGGCGTGGAAAAATATTTTCTGATGCGTCCACTTTTCTCGGTCCACAGTGTGTTGTGTATTCAAATATAGATAAATAGTTTACATTGTAGAAAAAATATTTAACGACTATTTGCATTAACGTTATTATGTCTTATCTGTATATAAAATGTAGATTTATTAATGTAAATTTGAGACCAAAGCAAATTGTGCAACACATACCAATCCGCGACACATAGAATGTTTATTTGTTAAAAAAAAAGTGTTAGCGAATAAATTAACCGTCTTATTTGTAAAACGTCAAACGTCTCATGGACCTATTTTAGCAATTGAACTGTTTTGTCTCTTTCTTTTGTATTAAATTCTCAGTTTGAATAAAGGTGACAAAACAGTGTAATAGCTTTGACTATTGTTAGGTTTACAGGATATTTTAATTTAATAATAATACAACGTTTTAATTAATTTTTTTTTTTACATCAGAGAATAGAATTAGTCTTAAAATACCATAAAATATATTATGTTGGAAAGAAAAAAATTGTCTGCGTCAATAAATAATTAAAAAATATTAAAAAAAAAAAATTTGTACAAATACAATATCTGAGGTCAAAATTATGTTTAACATAATAACTATAAAGAGCCTTAAGATAGATATTTGAATGTATTCTAAAATCTAATATATGAGGGAAGAAGGGACAGGTTAAATAAATAAAAAAAAAGAAAGAAAAATATAAAGAAAATAAAATATCATAATATTGCTTCTAAAACGTTCAATAAATATCTGTTTATAAGAAAATTACCAAAAATTAAATATACAATAAATTAATGTGTCAAGTGCAAACCTTTGGCGGGTATTGCATAACCTTTCCTCGCTGTTTCAACATTATTCAAATGTAATGCTATATCGCCTTTTAGTGCTTAAGTAACAATCGTCGACAGAGCAAACTACATATGTGTTATACCATACATTAAATACTACAAAACGAAGCCGTGTGCATGTGCAACATTGCACAGTGTATCACAATAATGAAAGTTCAGTGTCAATAAATCGTCATAGTCTTAGAATACTGACGGATCTGACAAAGATTACATATAAAGATCCGTCGGTATTCTACGACTATGACGTAATGTGTACAGTAAAAAAAAAATTATGATATTACATGGACACAGTGTACGGTTACTTTCAAGTACTAATAACATTTCGTAGCAAACATTACTGGGATTTATTTATCCATAAAAAATACTAATAAAAACCATTTACATATGGAATATTCAAAAAGATTACAAAAGAATTTTCAATCAATTTCGAGTTAGTTGGTTGAAATTTTTCCCCGCGGGTGTGTGTGTTTAGACGACATTTTTTTTTTTTACTTGGGAATAATTTATCATTTATTTTATATAATATAAAAAAAAAATGTCTAATTCGCTGCTGTAATTTTTCTGTAACAAACGCTAGTAAAACGAAATCCGATTTGTCATTTGTATCAAAAGTGTTTCAAATTTTTTTTTTTTAATAATCATACGCAAAACATCTCTTAACTTCAAATTAAATATAATATCATTTCTTTAGCAGTCAGGGAACACTTTTAAAAATATGGAATTTTAGATCTAGCGCGCTCTTGTCGCTTCTGTAATTTATTGAAAATAAACTAATAAAGATTCACACTGTCAGCATACAAGGTTCTTTGCATACTCCCTACTGACAATAGAAAAGCATGTATAGCTATATATATATAGTAGCCCACCTGATAGACAATAGAAAACATCGTTTGTCGACATACCATTCAGTTTATTAAAGAATGTGACAATTAATTAAAATATTTTCATTGTAACTTCACTTCGTTTTACCCTTTCAATTCATAATCTGCAAACCTAATAATCTATATATACAGAAAAAAAAAAAACATTACAAGTGTCACAATAATCTTGGGGGATCTCGATTATAAATCAGTTTACAACGAAACAGCATAACAGCACGACATCTAGCGGTAATATTTGTGAACCTAGAGAAACTTATTCAAAGCATATGAATTGTAATAATACAAGTATTATAATTAAGACTGTAAAGATGTTGGTATAATTATTATGGTTGTATGTATTTAAATGGTATTTGTAACATCCTAATTCAAAATGGCGAAACCATACATTTCAGATAGTATGTAAATATTTTTTTAATATTTTCCCAATTTTATTCCAGGAATACGAATTAAAAAACGTTAAAAAACATAATAAAATTTTTATAATTAAAATTTTAACTAACAAAATATAATATAAGTTTCTTATATATATATGATAAACATACATATGGTTCATTTGATGGTAAGCTGTTACGGTAGCCTTGCAATACCAGAAGCATTGTGTACACGTTGCCGCATGTAAAAAAAAAACATCTTTATACCTTTTTGAAAAATCCTATGTGGAAATCTATTGGTAAAAGTCTCGGTAGGAAATCCATTCTATAACCTGACTGTAAAAAGAAGAACTTTTAAAACCACCTAGTAGCACTAGTTGCCTAGTACCACTAGCGAGTAAGTTCTAAGCTATTGTTTATTATCACTACATAGTATAAAACAAAGTCGCTGTCGCTGTCTGTCCGTCTCTATGTATGTTTAAATCTTTAAAACCACGCATAGACATAGTGATTCAAGAGAAAGGTTTATATTTATAATACATGCGTAATATTGTAGAGAAACACTGATAAATTTAGAGGTTTCTAATGTGATGTCGTAAATAAATACATTTTTTGCGCTTACATTGCAAACGCTGACTGAACCCCACGAGATAAATCAAGATAATGTACTACAGTTTTGTACACCTTAAAAAGGTCAACAAAAAGTCCGCGATGGTGTATGTCTATCTCTTAAGGATAACCCACAATAACCATTTTTTATCCTTTACAAATGTAATTTAACGGGAAAAATGGCTTATTTACGAAGTGATTTTAAGCAATACAGCATTAATTTTTATCTAATTAAGTACCTTAAATACATTGTCCATTAAATATAGATCAATATGGCCCTATACAGCATGTAATTTAAATGAATATTTCCGAAAGTATTACAGATTTAAAATGCGGGGACATAGCGGTGCGGCATTGCGCCGGTGCGAAGCCGGTCGCTAGTATTAAATAAAATAACTTGGATGCGGGCAAGGTCTATCGAAGCAGTACATCAATTTGCAAGAACTTTAGCTTTTAATTTTGTATTGCATCGTGATATAATTTAACTCTTCATTAGACTATATCCCCCCCCCTTCTACTAAATAAAGCAATCAGTCCATCGGTACGAGTCAACAACTTGTTGCTCCTCTCTCGCGAGCTTGGAGTACCATCTGCACTCGCCCACGTGCTCGGTGAAGCAGTAAAGACCATCTGCGACCAACGGTACGTAGAGATTGAAAAAAAACTACATGAGGTTCAAAATACGCAGTGCTATGTTTAATTTAATAGTATATTACCATGGTCAAATGAATTAACACGGTTTCACAAATACTACCGCCACATTACCGACTTTGTATACCATTACTGTTTGTAGAAAAAAGACTGCTTATAACAAAACATACCTTTCGCTGTACATTTATCTATAAGATACATTTAATTTCCAACCTTATTGCCTATGTGATAAGTCTAGGGGCGTGGAGGCCGTAAAGTCTTCGCGCTAGCGGCGGCCGGTGGCGAGGCTCGTCGTCTGACGCTGGTGCCCAGTCCTGGAGCCTGGCGCCGGCGGCCAGGCGGTGGGTCAGCCGGTGAGCTATTGAGAAGCCGCCACTGCCTTCCAGTTGCGTTAGGACTATAATTACTTGCCTGTAGGATAAAAATAAAGTCATATTTTCAACAGGCTTAATGTAATAATTAGTGTTTTATGAATGAACTAAATTTCAAAAGATACATACATACATACATATCTGTCACGCCTGTCTCCCATTAGGGTAGGCAGAAACAACGGAACGCCAAATGCTTCGATTTAAAAGTCAAAATTATTATAAATTTAGGTTATGATAAAACTAAATTTAAATTAAATTTGACTTAAACCTATTGAAATTATTAATGATTAGGTTATGATAAAATTAAATTTATTATAATTTTAGTTTCACGAAATTAATGTTTTATAAGTGAACTATATTTCAATAGATTTAAGTCAAAATTATTATATTAATCTAAGTTATAATAAAACTAAATTTCAAATAATTTTGACTTAAGTGTATTGAAATTATTAGTTTATGATAAAATTAAATGTATTATAATTTTAAATTAATTAAATTCATTAAAATTTAGTTCATATTGGTCCGCAGAATAAACATTTTATGAAATTATAAATTTAGAGAAAGGTTTAGAGCATAGTTTCTCAATCGGGGCGTCGCAATCCTTAGGGGGTCGTTTTTATTATTAAAGGGGATCGCAGTCTGTTGGAAAATAATAAGACCTCGAATGATTCGTTCAACGTAGCGATACGTGGCTTTACTAATTTGACTATTATTACTACTAATTATTCGATTGAACAAGTCATTCGGTTTATTCGAACGATTTTCAATTTGATACAGATTAACTCGATTGCTGGATCCTTCCTTTTTTATTAATGGTCAATAGTGTTGCCAACGTATTATATTTACTAAAAATTTGTAATTTTCGATATCTCGTAAGTTTTTTTGGCCGTCACTTGTTATTTATTTATTTACACTTTATTGCACCAAGTAAAAAGAGAAATAACAAATACAGTAAATATTAATGAGAAGTGATACAAAAGGCGGCCTTATCGCTAAGCAGACAATCTCTTCCAGACAACCTTTGGGTAGAGGACATTGAGAAAAAGACAAAGAGTAGGTGGCGCACTATTATATAAATATTATCATATACAAACATATATAGATACATACATACATATAGATACATACATACATATATACACATACATATATAATATATACACAATTAAATATATACATAACATACACATACTTAACAGCACACATACAACAGAAAAAAAAATGACGAAGGAAAACGAAGAGATTATCTCTTTTGATTAAGGTGATACTTTAACGTAATCGATTAAAATAATAAAAATTAGTTAATAACATATAAACTATTAATTAAAATATTATTATAATTTTATAGTGATGAGGTCGCAAGACTTTTTGACATTTTGGCTTTTTTCGTGGGTCACGATACAAAAATGGTTGAGAAACAATCGTTTAGATAAATGGCCGTTCAGAATCGACCTCAATGTAGTTTTAGATCCCAATAATCCCTTCTTCATCCCCCTCCCCCGTGCGTTACTATACCCCCTATAAACAATATCTCAATATCAAATGTAATAATAACATACCTGTGTAGCGGTGGGACAGAATCGATAGTTTTCAGTTCGCCTCTTGTCGAGACCACGTTGTAGCTCTCCTGGCAATCACACTTGACGTGTATCCACTTGTCTGTGTGTCTGTTCTCGACCATCACCACAAGCCCCGCCCAACCCTATAAAAAAAATGTAAAGTGAGTGAATAAAAGCATATTAGTATAAATATGTCTTAAGTTAGGGTATGACCTACTAATACACCAGTGGGGGGGAAAGGAATTGTTAGTAATAGAGATTGAGAATCCAATTGCAATATACCCAACCAGGTCGACCTCCTCGCGGTTCTCCCTGGAAACTATCATGGTTAATTCCTGATGAATTCATCATGATGGGCTAACTGGCCTGTTTTCATTCTCATCTATCACCCTTCACTGGTGCTCCGCCAGCGTATCCCGTTAGCGCAGGCGGGGTTACCATACCATTGTGACATATCAAAAAAAAAATACACCAGTGGAGAAAGGATTATTAGTAATGCGAACTAACCATTGCTAGCAATAAACCCTGTCAGATCGACCTCCATGTGGTCCCGCTGGAAACCATCATGCTAAATCTCAGGTGTAATCATCACGATGGGCTCACTGACCTGCCTTTTTATTTTCATTTGTCATCCCTTACCAGTGTATACCGTTAGCCCAGGCAAAGTTGCCATTCCATTATCATCCATTAAAAAAATATATAGCAAAAGATGGAGACTTATAACATCTTTGGGAATACCAATGCATTTATCATACCGTACCATAGGTATTGCGACGTATTTTACAATGCCCATAATGCTATTCATGTCTGTTGGTGAGACGGTTACCACTTCTGTCGTCGTTTAAGTTAACAGATTAGCAATTTGGTTACATTATTTTAAAACGTTTAATTCCTATAACTCCATCAGCTGTAAGCCGATTTAAAAAAAAATACAGACTGATTGCAATCTCTAACAAACAAAGGTTAAAAGAGAACAGATAGAAGTGGGTAGGTGGCGCAAGTTTTTTTTAGTAAAACATACAAAATAAATACCTTCGTTAAATAATAAGCAGTCATGCCCTGTCTGCCCTCGTGCCTCTGCCCTCTGGCTAGCGTCAGGCCTATGATCGCATCCGCCAAGATATGAGGATGAAGCGAGGGTCTCTCCACAGTTAACGGCTTCGAGGAGTGGGCAGCTAGAACGTGGCGAGGCCAGGCGGAACTGTCTGCTAACTCGAGACCGGTGTGCCAGTGGTTGAATGCCAAGCATACGACTAGGTAGAAGCCTTTCTCTAGCATTTTGTGACAGCCGACGAAACCGCGTACCTGTTGACATGTTGAAAATACAATCTTATAATCTAAGAAAAACCAGAGGGAGACTTTGTACAAAAGTCCATTGCTTGGGTACCTCTGTCCCATTCGTGTTTCAACCGTGAAGCAGTTGTGTTTGCATGGCTGTGTTTCGGTTTTGAAGGGTGGGATATGGCGTAAATTTACTGGGTACAGAGGAATAACACCTGAGTACTCAGTAATGGCAACGCATGGGGGGTAAAATGGACGAAACAGTATACTCTGTTATGTCCATGGTACTGCTCATGTCTATAGGTGACGGTTACCACTTTCCATCAGGTGGGCCGTCAGCTTGTTTGCCATTCTAAGTTGTATAAAAAAAATAAGAAATAGAGCTCAATTACCTTTTCAATACCACGTGATTCCGACATTTATTTATTTATTCATATAAATAATTATGACATAGAATGGGCCATACCTTCATTTCTCGTGGATGTTGTAAGAAGAGATTAAGGGAAAATAATGGTAGAGGGATGGGCAGCAGCAAAATCTAAAAACATAACCAAAGCCTAACTGCGGCTACCTTTTTTTTACTTCCCCATCTTATAGGGGAGGAGTTTTTTTGTTCAATGTACTGGGTTTGGATTCCCAAGCACTTACGGTTGCGCTTTCGGTGTACGCTCGCATATGCCAAGGTTTGCAGTCGATTAGGTAATTATATGGGTCTCTTTGGGCTTCACCATTAAGTGGGTACTGAGAGCATGACTTTTAAGATAACCTTTCTGATGCGGATTGATGAGCGGTGAGTTATTATGGGGGACTATATTGAGCATTGGACAGATAACGACTGACATGACGATGACGATGAAATTGTTATGCCCTTCAAACCACAGGGCAGCCATACAAGCACAATTACTTAGCGGTGAAACTGGCGCCCCGAACTGACCTGTCTCTTGCTGTGCACGACCAGTTTCCCAACTTGAGCGGTGGGTCCCGACCGAGTCCGGAACACCACCACACATAAGTCCAACTGGGACCGTTGGCTTTTGGCGGAATTCCTGAAATATGTCATATAATTATTTACATCTCGTTTCTTATAAAAAGCCCCCCCCCCCCCCGTACTAGTAACGTCATTTATTTATTTATTTACACTTTATTGCACCAAGTAAAAAGAGAAATAACAAATACAGTAAATATTAATGAGAAGTGATACAAAAGGCGGCCTTATCGCTAAGCAATCTCTTCCAGACAACCTTTGGGTAGAAGACATTGAGAAAAAGACAACTATTAATATAGGCGCGTCATCCGTGTCAATATGCTATTTTAACTACTCATAATCAAGAAAAAACTGAGAAGCATAAGGAATACCAATAGAAAAATAAAAAAAAAATGTTTTTTATTTCATAACTCTGTCAGTTGTAGACTTATTTAAAAAAAATCTTTTTTATCTGAAAGGATGTATTTATTCCCTTCAGATGGATCCCATAGAAATTTTACCAAAATCAATTACTTACAATTACGATCAATTACCAAAGTAGTTTAGTTTTTAAAACAAAATAACTGGTTTTGCCACAACTGAATCGGTTTTTCTTTTTGGTGGAACATTAATAAAACATATTTTTTAAATTATATTATATATTTTTATTTAAAAAAAGCGGTAAACTGACAAAAATACTGTGAGTGAACTGCTTTTTAGTTAGCGGAAGGCAGATACATACATATAAGTATATATTTTTTACTTGCCTCTGGCCCTCTTGGAACAGCGTGAAGTCAACCTCGGTTGGCTGGGTGGCAGTCAGCAGCAGACAGGTCAAGTGCCTCGTCGAGGACATGGGGGGCAGTATCCCGGCCAATCGTACCTCATGCCAGCCGACTCGCACTTTGCAGATGTCTATGCAGTCGAAATATCTGAAAAGGAAAAAAATTTAACTGTTTACACCGGTGTTTCCCAACATGGGGCCCACGCCCCACTGGGGGACAATTTGATTATTAAAAGGGGCAATTAAAAAATAGACTCGAAGCGATTTTAACCCTCTTGCTCCAGGCCATTTAAATGCAATGCTACGAGTAGATATCTGTGCCAAATTTAACAAAACAAAAAAGTCAATTTAAAAAATTGCTGTAAATATTTATTAGGTACAATTCCATTTGACATTACAAAAATATCAACTGGGCGATTAGAGTCGTCAAGTAAACTTTGTCAGGAAAAATTACGTATGGGGGCATAAAAATTTTCAATTCAAAAAGCAACAGCTGTGTTTCTTGCCTGTTCTTCTCAGCTGAAATTGCATTCCGAATTAGACGGTACATTCATAAAAATTTACGTTTTAAAAATACTTATTATTAAGTTTACTTGAAATAAAAAATATTTATTTTAGAATGATGCCTAATTCGCTATTTCACATTGCATTTGATTTAGAATACTTTTTTTAATTTATATTATATGTCTTTAATGTTTAATTTTATTTTTTCTTCTATCTATAATTGTAGATGCAATCAGTTCTTTTTAGCCATAAGCAGATCTGTTGTATTACAAAATTGTGGGTGTTAGGAAATTCATATCTAGAGAAATGTCATTTCAAACAAATTTTGGGGTTTAAACGAACTTTCTTTTTTTTAAAAAAAATAATATTGTTGACTGGGAGAGAATGCTTTTAGCATTAAGTCCGCCATGTACACATATTTGTACTAATGAATAAATAAAATAAATAAATATTAAGGACCCAACCTACCAACCTGCTTTTTAGATCCAGATAAAACCAGGGCAAATGATCGAGGCAAGACTCCTGATGATTCTAATTTAAATTTCGTGAAGGGTGCTCTAGTTTCCATTGTTACATCACAGTACATTTGTAGCACTATACAGTAGTACTAGATGGCGTTGTAAATATAAAAAATAACAATGCCACAACGACCAGATGCTAAATTCCACTTTTTTTTATGCTAATATAGTAGGTATAGTAGGTAGGTACTCCAGGTAAATCTGCGCAAGTTTTGATAAATTGCAATTGTTAATTGTATAAGCGTGTATCGCATACTTGAGCACGTCGTCGAAGGAGATCCAGAAGACGCCGTGGTCGGCGTCGTGTCCGGCGGGCGCGGCGGGCGCGGCGGGCGGCGCGTGGCGCCACGTGTAGTGTCCCCAGGGGTTGCGCAGGCGCAGCAGCCGCGCCGGCGCCGCCGCCTCCATGCGCTCCACCACGTCCAGCACCGAGTACGCGTGCCGCGGCCGCAGCCCCAGCCGCTGGTACTCCTCCTCGTCCACCTGCCGCCGGGCCGGGGGGGGGGACGACGTCTCCATTATACTACTACTAATATTATATCAGTTTTGTTTTATAAATGGTAATTTCACCTGCGCTGCCAGGACGCCAGTAAGTGATGATAGGTGACGATGAAGTCAGATCTAGTTAGCCCAACGTAATAAATTCACCAGGAATATATCACGATAGTTCCTAGAGCAGTCTAGAAGGAATGAGTTGAGGAGTGGAGATCGATTAACCGGATATGTTGCTGATATGTTGCGGTAATGAAATCATTAATACCTATTATCAACGATCCTTCCTCTCTATTATATGTCAGAATGATGCTTTCTGGCCTCTGAAATGCCGACGAATGGCCGACACGTACTAAACGAGTCTAGATTTCTTTCAGAAGTCTAGATTCTAGAGTAGAAAAGTTTTCATTAATTCACTTTCAGTGAGTATTGTGTCCGGACGAGTAATACCTTCATGTTGCCGCCGCCGCAGCTGGCGCCCATGAGGAAGCAGGCCTGCCGCGAGGACAGCAGCTGCGCCCACACCAGGTCGCGGTCGAGCTGCTCGAGCGGCGCGCCGCCGCCGGCGCCGCCGCCCGCGCCGCCGCCCGCCTGCAGCGACACCGACTCGCACGGCGCGCCAGTCAGCGTACATAATCCTGCAACGTCCACTTACACCCTTCACTCATCACCACTAAGAGAACCAGTCGCAGCAATTAAAAAGAACGAGCGATTATCTTCTCGCTTGTAACAGTGAAATAGTGTTACACCTAACGGTGGGAATTTGCAAAAGGGTGTACCTCAAGGATCTAATCTTGGACCCGTTCTTATAAATTATTTATGATCTTCCCTTTAGTACGCAGGACAGTTTTAGTATTATATTATTTGCAGATAATTGTGTAAATAGTGTTCAATATTAATCTTTCTTACCACCAGGTGGGCCGTATGCTTGTTTGCCAGCTACTAATAAGTTTACGATTAATATGTAATGTTGAATGGACATTATAAATTATAGATTAAAAAAAAAGAGCCAAATTACTCCACCCATTTTCAAGTGACGTAATTACCAATGTTCCTTCCATATTTAATTGTTATATACACGTATAAAATAATAACTTACCTTCTATAGCTCTCCCAGAGACGAGAGCTTCATAGCACCCATGTAATTTGGCCACTGCCTTCTCTATTAATGGCACCCATAACTGTTTTCTCTTTGCCTGGAATAAAATATATTACCGTTATAATTGCATCTATATATATATATATATATATATATATATATATATATATATATATATATATATATATATATATATATATATATATATATATATATATATATTCTTTATTGCACTAAAACATACAGTAACAACAATAAGTTAATAACAATGTTAGCAAAGGCGAACTTATCTCTAAAAGAGATTTCTTCCAGTCAACCTAACGCAGTGGCATAGGAAGTAGTGAGTGGGCAGTAGTAGTGCAAGACAGAATAACTATATAAATGAATTCCAATCACAAGTCACATTGATTTACTAATTGATACTCATTAAATGATAAAAACTTCATAGCAGGCTAGTGTATAGAAAATGTTATACGACCATATAACACTACCATATTCAAATACAACCTGCTTGCATACTTTTTACATAAACTGTGTCGAATATATAATCTAGTAATGTAAAATTGGTCATTGACAAATAATTGACATATTAAACATTTTCTATATACTAGTCTGCTATGAATTGACAATAATAGCAACTGATGGTGTATCTTGCGTCCTCTTTTTACTAATTATATTTGCATAAGAAGAAAGGAGGTAACCATATGATTTACAGTTTTTATTTTATCATCCCTTCTATGTAATTCCTTGTTCTTAATATATACATCACCTGCGAGTACACAAGATGCCCCTTTTTATTGGCAGGCAGAAGGTCGTCGACGGTGACGGTCAGCCAGCGGCCGTCCTTACACAGCCGCAGCTGGTACGCGCCCACGCTGGGGTCACCGCGTACCACCACCCCACGTACCAGAGACGATCGCTCCGCCAACACCGCCAGTGCTGACAGCAGCCAGCAGTTGCCGAGAACACCTAGAAGGGCCAGTAAATTTTAAAATCATTGAAAACTTTTCCTAATAGACGGTAAAGGCTAGGCGATATATATATATATATATATATATATATATATATATATATATATATATATATATATATATATATAATAGATAGTGATTCAAGAGGAAGATTTATATAATAGCGCGTCGAAGGCCGCACTTCGTCCTATAGCACTTTATCATGTTTATATTGTCTAATGACAAAAAAGCTGTAAACGTTGTTTATAAGGACATCCTGTAGTAGGTTACCTACCTACTACAGGATGTCCTATTCAGTATCAGCTTTACACCCTCTCAAATACAAGTCAGCAACTCTATTTTCCCGTGCTAAAGGGATTGGCAGTGGAATCATAAAAAATGACTATACAGAAATGCTTTACTTGACAATTAAATTTACTTGATTAGAAATATTCTTAATCACTGATAAGCCACCGTAGTCTTCACGAAAAACAACACGTGAGAAGTACCCTGGGTATCACAGCATATTCATTGAACTTCACGGTTCTGTTTAGACCTACAGGTGACGGTTACCATGTTCCATTAGGTTAGATATACGCTTTGGTTATACTGAGTTTATAAAAAATCTATAAACTTGAGTCATCTGGCAAGTAAACTATCTCGTCTGATATGGTTATTGGAGAACTTCATGGAAGAATAACAATAAATAACATCTATACTTTTAGTATTTATTCAAAGAATGAGGGAGACTTTGTACAAAAGTCGATTGCTTAGGTACCTCTGTTTGCATGGCTGTGTTTCGGTTTGAAAGGTGGGATATGGCGTGAATTTACTGGGTACAGAGGAATAACACCTGAGTCCTCGGGAATGGTAACGCATGGAGGGTATCATGGGCGAAACAGTATACTCTGTTATGTCCATGGTACTGCTCATGTCTATAGGTGACGGTTATCACTTTCCATCAGGTGAGCCGTTAGCTTGTTTGCCATTCCAAGTTGTATAAAAAAAAAACAGGATGACATTGTGGCATACCTACATATCTTATTCTCGTAATACCCACATAATATATACTTATACATTACAGCGGAGTTTCCCGACGTGGGGTCCACGCCCTATAGGGGAAAATTTGATAGTTATTTGGGGTAAATAAAAAATGGATTCAAAGTGATTATAACCCTCTTGCTCAGGACCATTTAAATGCAATGCTAGTAGATATCAGTGCCAAAATTAACAAAAAAAAAATAGTAAATTAAAAAAATGCTGTAAATATTTATTAGGTATAATTTCGTTACCAAAATATCAACTGGGTGATTAGAGTCGTCAAGTAAACTTTGTCGGGAAAAATTATATATGGGGGCATAAAAATTTTAGAAATGTTCAAGTGGGGCATGGCACAGAAAAAGGTTGGGGAAACACTGCATAACAGTAAGCAACCTTGCGATATATCCGACGGCTTGGGATCCCGGAAGACGACCCAGGGCAGGCGGTGGTCGGCGTCCACGTGTATCTGGTGCGGCCGCAGCCAGCGCGCCGCCGCGCCGCTGTCGCCGCGCTCGGCCGGCGCGCCGCCGCCCGCGCCGACCGCGCCGACCGCGCCGCCGTAGTACAGCGACCGGGCGCTCGCGGGGAACGACTCGTCCACGTACGACTCGCCAGTCTGATTTACAATTTACAACTTTTTAACTCAAATTTTATATATATATATATATATATATATATATATATATATATATATATATATATATATAAAAAAATACGAATGGTAATCCTAAAGTTACCGGGGGGAAAGGGATTGTTAGTAGTGGAGACTGAGAATCCTATTGCTGGCAATATACCCAACCAGGTCGACCTCCTCGCGGTTCTCCCTGGAAACTATCATGGTTAATTCCTGATGAATTCATCATGATGGGCTAAATGGCCTGTTTTCATTCTCATCTATCACCCTTCACTGGTGCTCCGTCAGCATATCCCGTTAGCGCAGGCGGGGTCACCATACCATTTTCACTCATCAAAATAAGAATACTAAAGTTACCAAAGGGAGACTGTACAAAAGTCATTTACTTGGGTACCTCTATCCAATTCGTGTTTCAACCATGAAGCAGTTGTTTGCATGGCTGTGTTTCGGTTTAAAGGGTGGGATATGGCAATGAATTTACAGGGTACAGAGGAATAACACCTGAATCCTCAGGGATGGCAACGCATGGTGGGTATCATGGACGAAACTGTATACTGTTTTATGTCCATTTCATTTCGTCGCGTTGTCCCGATAGTGTATTTAAAATATGGTTCAACAATGCAAAAATTTTAAATTAAATATCATGATGATAATCTTGTTCACAATTAACGCCTAAATGATACTTGATGTGCAACTGCGATTCGTTGGCATGGTATGTGTATGAGTCTACTGGGAACAGCTTATCCAAAACCAGGGGACTACAGATATCTTAAACTGCGGGATATCGTTAGGGTAACACATAGGATCTATGAAATGATGGTATAAGGCAGGGGGAAGCACAAAAGATCCTGATGAGTCGACGTGCATCGGCTTAGCTGACCCCATATGCGACAAAATAAGATAACGCCTAAAAGAAATCATTGGAGGAAAGGGATTGTTAGTAACGCGGACTATCAGTATACATACAATATACTATATCAGGTCGACCTCCTCGTGGTTCTCCCTGAAAACCATCATGCAAAATTCCAGGTGTATTCAGCACAGTGGGCTAACTGACCTGACCTTTTATCTCACCTATCATGCCTCACTGGTGCCCCGCCAGCGTATACCGTTAGCGCAGACAGGGTTAACATTCCATTATCATCTAGTGAAAAAAAATGAAGTCATTGACACAAAAATCTCACCGCAGCACACTGCGCCAGTACTTCCTGCCACTGCGTCCACGCGTGGCTTTCTTCTCTCAGTCGCAATATCTCCATTGGAGTGCTCTCCTGCCTCTCTCCGTCTGAATCGTCCACTGTGAATTATTTACAAACTAGTTACGACACACGGATTTGTCCACTTTGACTAAAACTATTTTTTTCATTTCCCCTTTAAACGTTATTCTGAGTCACAGATTGTTTCATCATAATATTAAAATGAGTGAATTCATCAGTCATAATAGTAATATGAATGTACTGGGGGGAAAGGGATTGTTAGTAATAGGGTCTAACACCTCCATTGCGGGGGGAAAGGGATTGTTAGTAGTGGAGACTGAGAATCCTATTGCTAGCAATATATCCAACCAGGTCAACCTCCTCGCAGGTCTCCCTGGAAACTATCATGGTTAATTCCTGATGAATTCATCATGATGGTCTAACCGAGCTGTTTTCATTCTCATCTATCATCCTTCACTGGTGCTCTATCAGCGTTTCCCGTTAGCGCAAGCGAGGTTACCATACCATTTTCATCCATTAAAAAAAAATATGAATGTACTGACGGTCATCATCATCGGGCGCGGTGAGTGCGAAGTCGGGCGGCTCCCGCTGCTGGTGGTGCTGGTGGTGCGGGTGGTGCGGGTGGTGCGGGTGCGGGTGCGGGTGGTGCGGCCGCGGCGCCTGGCACATGTCGCAGGCGGCTGCGCCCGCGCAGTTCGAGAACGTGCACTCGCTGCACGACCACTCGCCGCCCTCCGACCTGCGCCCGGGCAAACAAAACAATAGCGTCAGTATGGTGTATACACCATTCATATCATTATACATGAATCCTTCCAAAAATCCCCCTAAAAACCATCGTGGTTCATCACCAATGGAATTTAAAAGATAAACCTACTGAACAGGAAGTCTACCATAAAATGAAATTACGAAATTTAAGAATCAATTTCGTATTTTCATTCATACCAAAATCAGACCAGTAAAAGGAGCTTAAAATTGTGTTTTTCCTAAATCCTACTATAAAAGTAGGAAAATGGAAAGACAAAGGAACGATATTTTAAAATTATTAATATTTTTAATGGATACGTATTATGTAATTTTAACATAAAATTTGTGTTTCGTTCGGCCACGAAATTTTCATGGTAGATCTTCTGCTTTAATCCTCAACTAACATGATAATCTAATTTAATTAAGAGATAACTGTATAGATAATTAACAGACTAAAAATCAGTGCTGTGCTGCTGTAAATGTTGCATTGTGACACCCACAGCATCAACTGAGTCATCCCCTTTTGTCTAGCATTAAAGATAAAAAAAAAATGTAAGCACTTGTGTATTTCTAGTGTGTAGTTTACCAAAGGGAGACTTTGTACAAAAGACGTTTGCTTAGGTACCTGTGTCCCATTCATGTTTCTATTGTGAAGTTTTTTTTATGCAACTTAAAATGGCAAACAAACTGATGGTCCACCTGATGAAAAGTGGTAACCGTCGCCTATAGACATGAGCAGTACCATGGAAATATAAGAATATACTATTTCGCCCATGAAACCCCCCATGCGTTGCTATTCCTAAGGCCTCAGGTGTTATTCGTCGGTACCCTGTATATTCACTAATATATCCCACCTTTCAAACAGAAACACAGTCATGCAAACATAACTGCTTGACGGTAGAAACACGAATAGGACAGAGGTGGCCAAGCAATCGACTTTTGTACAAAGTCTCCCTCTGGTTGAATTGTCTTACATTTATTGTCTTGCTTATTTCCTATATTGTACAATTCAAATACAGTACTCTCATTCATTCAAAAGAGACTTGGTAATAAAAGCAGTTCTGGGCATTTCACCTGTGTTCGGGCGGCGGTGTTTTGTGTCGAGAGCCACGACGTGGCAGTGCGGGCGTATGCCGCGATCGCCTAGGAGACGGGCTGCGACCCACTGTAAAATAGAGATTAAAATGTATAAAGCATATATACACGGTCGAATTGAGAAACCCCCTCCTTTTTTGAAGTCGGTTAAAAATGGACTCTATCCGTGTTCAGCCCCTCATTTGGGCCGTTGTGCGTATGATAGAAACAAAAATTAATAATTATGTTAATTACTAGCTGATGTCCGCGACTTTGTCCGCGTGGTATTTATTATATCGGTTTAGTATGTATCAATGTATGTACCTATCTATTTATTATATCCGGGAATATTAGACCAAAATTAACAAATGACGTTTCGTTCTCACGCTTTGACTTAGGTCAAAATGACTTTACATAAGTAGGTTGTGTACTAAGCTGTGTAAAGTTTTAAAATTTTTTAACTATCCCATGGGAACTCTTTAATTTTCCATGATTAAAAGCACCTAAAATGTTTGCCGGGGATGTAAGGTACCACCATGCAAAATACTTACTTACAGATAGTTTAAATGTAACGTGAAACAAACCAAAAACATGCAAGAATAATATATAATTTATTAAATAGTTATTAAGTATTATTTGTCCACTGCTGGACATAGGCCTCCTCATAGACTGGCATAAGGAACGGTCCCGAGCCACCTGCATCCAAATAGAATTAATCAGGGATTAATAATAAGAGTCTACGCACCGGCACCACAATTGGAATCCGAAGAAGAGCCAGGGACCCCATGCTTGGGTACGGGCGGGGTCTTGCATGCGAGACACAAGGATGCAGACAGCGGGTTCTGTAGGGTACACGAACTGCAGGACCTGAAAATGTATACAGGGTTAGAGATCTCAAATTTTGCCGCCAAGTTAGTTGCATGCAGTATGACAGTAAGTTACCAGGTAAATTGTTTCATGATTTATTTATTTATTACATCAAATATAACATTTACCATAGGGAGATGTTGTACAAAAGTCGTTTGCTTGGGTACCTCTGTACCATTTGTGTTTCAACCATGAAGCAGTTGTGTTTGCATGGCTGTTTGCAAGGCTGTTTCGGTTTGAGGAGTAGGATATGGCGTGAATTTACAGGGTACAGAGGAATAACACCTGGTGTCCTCAGGAATGGCAACGCATGGGGGGTATCATGGGTGAAACAGTATAGATAGATAGATAGATAGATAGATCGTTTATTTGTTTGTTACTAATCACACACAACATGTACATAAGAATAGATAATACATAAAACAACATAAGATTTATAATTGTGTTATTATGTGTGATCTGCAGCAATACAAAAAGGTCGAAGCTCAGCGTGTAACATTGTTCAAGGAACAAAACACTGATTTTCAGCTTTAACCCATTTGAGGGTACGTGAAAATAATAAATAAAATAAATATAAAATAAAAAGAGTAATATTTTTGGTGATTGTCTGTGCGGTGTGTGTATAATAAAAATAATGTAAATAGTTCAAGAGTATAATTTGATATAATTTTAACTGAGTGGTAAGGATAAAGCAAAAAAAAAGAAAATATTAATAAGAGAAACATGGAAAAAAAAAATATTAAAAATCATTACATGAGTTTGCAACCGCTAGCCAAGAAATTTCTGTGGAATGCCTAAAATTTGTTTTTTTAATAAGTATTCTTTGTGATGTTTTTTAAAACTTTGTACGGTATACTCTGTTATGTCCATGATACTGCTCATGACTATAGGCCACGGTTACCTCTTTCCATCAGGTGGGCCGTCAGCTTGTTTGCCATTCTAAATTATATAAAAAAAATATATTCACGGAGCGTTTACACCGCGAATAAAGAACTTTAACTGTATATTAAAGAGGTGAAAAGTGCATACCAGTAGTTGTGCGATGGTGGGCGAGAGCCGGCACAGGCCGCGCAGGTGGCGGCGGCCGGCTCGTTCACCAGCGTGCAGCGGCCGCACGACCACGTACTGCTGCCCGGCGCCGCCGACGCCGCCGACACGGCCGGCCCGGCCGCGGAAGCTGGCGCTGATGAATCCGCTAATCAAACGGAAGAAGGCTCGATTACATTCAGGCCGTATAAATTGTGTAAATTTTTTATTTGAGTTAGATATATAATTTATTTGCATTACTTTTTTTCATTTAAGAGTTTCCCCTTGTCGGTGCAACTACCAGAGGGAGACTTTGTACAAAAGTCGATTGCTTGGGTACCTCTGTCCCATTCGTGTTTCTACCGTGAAGCAGTTGTGTTGGCATGGCTGTGTTTCGGTTTGAAGGGTGGGATATGGCGTGAATTTACAGGGTACAGAGGAATAACATCTGAGTCCTCAGGAATGGCAACGCATGGGGGTATCATGGGCGTAACAGCATACTCTGTTATGTCCATGGTAATGCTCAAATCTATAGGCGACAGTAACTACTTTCCAACAAGTAATACTTAGTACTTTTCTAAGTATGGTTACTTTCCATTAGCTTCTTTGCCATTAAGCGTTGCTATTTTTTATCATGAGGCAATGCCCTACCTTAAAATGAAAGGCCCCAATAAAATTAGAAAGATTCTCTTTTTCGAAAACAATTATTGTTTCTGCTCTACTAAAAGAACTTTTACGCAAGCTTCAACATGGGTCTAGCTACGGTCCTGTGACAATTACTTTTATAAGTAGCTCTAGAACAATTGCAAATTGTTTAGTTTTTATAAATTCATAACTTACACTCTTACTCATAAAAACGTCAAATGATTCATAAACCTTTTTTAGCCTTAGGATAGAGGGCGCTGCTCTCACGTAAACAATACTGTCCTATGTTAAAATATATTAAAAATATTTTCTCATATTATTCCTTGAAAAAAACGACTAAAAACAAAAGTTAAAAGTGTAGACTATATATGACAGTGTTAGCAGCGACTGATAACACTAGAATTTTGCAAAACTAACGAAATTTATAAATGCCAGTGACAGCGTACGTAAACAGAAGTTTATAGTGTATATTTAATGAAAACACCTGCAATGCTGCTGGTGTTGTGGGTGATCATGGGCGGCGGTAGTCACTTACCATCAGGTGAGCCGCATGCTCGTTTGCCCCCTACGTTGTAAAAAAAAACAATACCAAAACAAACTCATCGATGGGTACAGTGCATAAAAGTTGTGAAGTAATTTATGTTGTGTTTTTCGAAATAAAGTTCTTCGATGATAAAAGTAATTCGATAAGTTATATCTTTCAAACTACCCACAGTAAAAAAAAAGACGCATAATTTAAGAACGTAAGAAAGAACAAACAAGTCTATTTTAACTGTTTTGCCACTTTTTTTTATTTATTCATTAGTACAAATATGTTTACATGGCCTTCAAATTTGGAATTTAACATCAAAGAGACTGTTCAATTTCTAAAATGGGTTTGAGAGGTTGGACATTTTAACGTATTCGTAAGGGGGTAAGAAATACTAATATTCCCTTACCAACGGCAAATAATAGTTCGTCGCTGTTCAGATCGTGGTCGAGGGAGGCGATCGGCACAGTGAGCCTCTTCGGCTCGACACGGTTCGACTCCGACGACTTGCTGCTACTGCTCGCCTCCGACGTTGTTGTTGATCTGGAACTTTCCAATAGAAGAGCGCCATTAGAGACACGCGTTACTACTGCATGGTCGAAATATATCATCACATTTTTTTTTAATGGGTGATAATGGAATAGTAACCCTATTGGAATATGGGATATGCTGCCAGGGCAGCAGTAAGGGATGACAGGTCAGGATGAAAAGGCAGGTCAGTTAGCCCATCGTGACAAATTACGAGAAGGGCCAAAATTAAAAGTACCCGTAACCGGCGAGCGTGTATGAAAAGATTGATGAATGTGGAAGAAGTGAAAGAGGTTTGTTTGAATCGAAGCGTTCCATTGTTTCTGCCTATCCTAATGGGAGACAGGCGTGACAGATATGTATGTATGTAAGTGACAGATAAAAGAATTTAATGAAAAACTTTACAATCGCCTTGCTGAGAAATGATTTTATTCACTTGAAGATTAATGCAAAATTTTAAGAACAAATAGCCAAATGAAATATTTGCACGCCACACGGTTGAATGCAGACTTTTTAACATTAAATACTTCTAATGTATTAATTAACCTGTATTCAAGCAAAAAAAAGTTATCATTAATGCATTCATAACGTACCTGTTGGGAAGCGGTCGGTCGTGCCGGTCGTGCCGGTCGTGCCGGTCGTGCCTGTCGGCGCGGTCGGGCCGCTCGGGCCGGTCGGCGCGGTGCGCGAGCGTGACGGGCGCGTGCGGCGGCCGCCCGCTGCGGCACACGTCGCACGACCGCGCCCACCACGCGTTGTACGCGAACCAGCACTCGTTGCACTGCCACATGCGGTTCTCGCGACTGACGAGTTGCGAACGATTATGAAATGTTATTTCACACGTTTAACCAGCGCTTCCACAATCCTACTACATTAATTATTATGATAAATTCTTGTATAAGCATTATAATTAGAACATATGAGTACTTCATTGTTTAATCTACGTACGGTAGCTGCATGAGAACATTGATCAGTAATATATAAAAATAAATAATATTAAAGAAGTTTCAATTCATATATACTTATGCTTACATTCCAAAAAAAAAAAAAAAAGAAATAAAGACCGTAGTGGTATTAAAAATAGTTTTTCATTGATAAAAAAAATTGTTTCTATATTTTAAAACTATTTTATATGTGAATTTTCTTTTAATAGAAATGTAAAGACAAAATAAAAAGTCCTTGTACTTCTATCAGATAAATATTTTGTAGGATTTTGTATTTTTTTTTCCGTTGAAGAATTTTATTCATACATTTCAATAAGTATATTTTAAAATTAAAAACCCTTAAAATTTTTAAAATATATAAAAACATGTAAACTGTGTCTAAAATATTAATGTATTGCAAACAGAAAACTTACGAGGGTTGCTGTGATGAAGGCACTTTAGACGGCTCCCGGGGGTTATGCGCCACTTTGCCGACCGATGGCAGCATGTTGAACACTTTCGTACTGGGGTCCTTTGGTACCGAGGACCCTATGTGCGAAGTCCGTATATTACTCACAACCGTCTCACTCACTGGCGATATGCAGTTCTCAGCACCTAACAACTCATCGATCCTAGCATAATCACCATCACTTATATCGTTGGAGTACAGCACTTCGTTATGTGAATTACTCATCACGTTCTTTGTATCTTGCACTGAAACATAGGAGTACCTAGTGCCGTTGTTGTTCACTTGAAGCTGCAAGTTCAAGTCTTTGTATTTACCTTTGTTTGGTAAAGCATATATCACACCTTCAGCGTTCGTGTCCCAACTACACTCCCTATCGTTCAACTCCACATTGTTCTCATCAATCTTCTTGTCAATCAAATCCCTCCTGCCATCATCAGGCTTTGTCAAACTGCCACAATAATTTGCAAGCGACCTCTGATACTCGTTCAAACTCCGTCTACTAGATATCACTTTACCAACTGGCCTATCGGCGTTAGTTTGCTCCGAAAAAGATCTTCTGTAAGTAGGCCGGATTTCTGGAGAGTTCTGCGCACTGATCGACCTTCGAAAGGAACTGCCTAAAGTGGTGCTTCCAGACTGAGGCCAATCGGGCACAGTGATCATTACACCACCCGATGTGGGGAGAGACGTCGCTCCATCTCTACCGCTCAGTGTTTCATGTCTCCCTAAGGTGGTAACACTCAATCCTCTAGAATTCGGTATTCTTGATAGCGGTGATGCTCTAGGCGATAAACACGCCTCACAATGAGTTCTGATACCAGAATTCTCTAAAGTGCATTTACTGCACGCCCACTTCTTCAAATGCAACGCTTTGCTTTGCTCTCTTTGATATTCTTTCACGTAATTCAGTTCCCAATTTGACTTGCTCTCACTGCACTTTTTGGGTCTTCTTGTAACTGTGTGAAGACTCCTTAGGAAGGACTCACGCGGGTTGTAATGGGTATTGTAGCCGAATCTCTCTGAGACCATAAGACTTGTGGGTCTGTTGATGGTGCCTCTAGTCTCGTCGACTTTCCACCACTTCTGTTGGGAGTTGATGACAGATCCGTGAGAAAGAGATCTGGTCACACCGTGTGCGTGGTCAGTCAGCTGCGTTGGAGACAACCTCAAGGATTGTAAGTCAAGATTCAAACGACGACCGTCGGCGAAACTCGATGTGGGCTTATATGATGGGACAGCCAGGGTGTTAGACCTTATCATAGTGTTGTCTAAAAAGTAATAAAAATTAATTATATAATAACATGGCATATGTTCAAGAGTACACAGTCGAATAATGGCTGAGATGATGATGATGATGATGATGATAGCATATTTGTAGTTAACAAGAGACAGTCATCATTTCATATATTTTTCCAATCAATTTTGTCACGTACATTGTAGTGAAACATTCTATTGAACGTTATATATTGTATAGTAATTATTAAAGATTTATTACTAACCTTGGGCAGACTTATCTTTGTCCGTCATCCCTGAAGCTTGATCCTCATCATCAGAAAGTCTGAAATGTAAACAATAAAAATAAATGCTTAGGCAATATGAATCTTCTAAATTCCAAATGATTGGCCACTAAACAATGATATCTTAACATTGTCCATCCCATTGATTATGTTTATGATACTGACTTTGCTTGTCTGACTGGACAATGCCATAAAAACAATAAAAGATTAAGGGCACTATTTTAAGGGTTTATTAATGGATATAATTAGTTACCCCAACTATATATAATAGTTACCACAATTTTTTTCTAGAGGACACCATGTAGATGGTAAACCAGAGAAGACAACTGATCCCCTTAATCCCAACAATTCCTTCCACCCTGTGTTTCGATATCGAAATAATCAAAAACATGATGCGCCCCACATACTAATATAGGGTGCAGCATCCTGTTCCTAACAACCCCTCCTCCAGATCAAGGCTGCTATATACGCGTAGATGTCGACATTCAAAATTAAATAATTCAAGAATACTGTGAATGATTGTAGCTTTTTATTTTCTTTTTATCTTGTTTTTTGTTTGTAAACTTAACTTATTTGAAAAAAAAAGCAACAGCTGTGTCTCTCGCAATTTAACAAAATTGCATTTCTAACTGAGCGGTAAATTCATAAAAAAAATACAATTCAAATATGCATGTTATTAAGTTGATTGGACTAATCGAAGGAACTATACAACACATACTACTCGAAGGCCCCCATATTTCAGTCTCTATGTAGGACACTCTCCCTAATAATATTCATCGCCCTGTTAACCTCACGTATCTATTAACTTTAGTTTTTTCTCCTATAGTATATGTTCTAGAAAAATTTCTGTCCAAATATAATATAAAATTATAATATGTCCTTTCAACATTTATTTTTATTGGATAAAAATGGATTAGTAACCCCGCCTGCGCTAACGGGGCACCAGTGAAGGGTGATCGATGAGGATGAAAACAGGCCAGTTAGCCCATCATGATGAATTCATCTGGAATTAATCATGATAGTTTCCAGGGGGAACCGCGAGGAGGTCGACCTGGTTGGATATATTGCTAGCAATGGGATTCTCAGTCTCCGTTACTAACAATCCCTTTCCCCCTTTTAACATTTAACTATCATAAACCATTCTTTAATCCCTGGTATAGACACTCAAACGTACAAGGAACTCTTATCGCATTCCTGATAAAATTGCAGTGTCTCTTCCAACCTTGACTTGGCAAAACCTTCGGAGCCCCGATCCATAAATTAAAAAATAAAAAAGTTTAATTGAATAAAAAATATTAGTATTATAATAAATTGACGACGACCTGTAGACGGGCGCGTGCGGCGCGAGGCCGTCACAGGCGGCGCAGCGCCAGGCGGCCGACACGTTCCGCAGCCCGCAGCCGCAGCGCCACGCGCGGCTTCGCTCCGGCGCCGAGCCCACGCACGACCATCCGCTGTGACGTAAAGACGGAAATTTTTACAAACAGATCAGGCAGCCCACCTGATAACATATTGTAAAGACCGCTTTCCCACCTCCTACCCTACCTATAAAGGTTGCCCTTGGTTAGTACTACCACTATTTTTGTTTTAATAGGTGATAATTAAATGTTAATCCCGCCTACGCTATCTGTATTCTCTGGTAAGGCACCAGTGACGGATGATAGGTGAAGATGTAAGCAGGTAAGTTAGCCCATCGTCACGAATTCCACTAAAAGTAGCCACGACGGTTTCCAGGGGGAACCGCGTGGAGGTCGACTTGATAGGATGTATTGCTAGAAATGGGGCAATTAGACCTCAATACTAACAATCCCTTTTCCTCTAGTACCCAATATTGGGCATCATACAGCGTACGGGGGGAGAAAGGATTGTTAGTAACGGGGATTAGCAACCCCATTGCTAACAATAAACTCTATCAGGTCGACCTCCTCGCGGTTCCCCCTGGAAAACATCGTAATTGATTTATTGTTGAATTTATCATGATAAGCTAGCTGATCTACTCCATTCTCATCTAGGACCCCTCACTAGTATACCGCCAGCGTTAGCACAGACGAGGTTACCATTCTATTACCATACATTAAAAAAAACATACAGGGCACTGCACTCATGCATTGTCAATTCCGAGGACTATAACTTTTTTTTACATCTATGCTTACAGAGCACCAGATGAAGGATGGTAAATGAAGATGGAAACAAATCAATTAGCCCATGATGACAAATTATATCTATTCTGTGTATTTGTATGCTTATTAAATATGAACTTTTTAATATTTGTTTATTAAGCTTCTGATAAGTAGTTAAACTTTTAGAAAATAATGCAAAAGATAAACATAATGCTAAATAACATTACATTAGAGAAAAGATTTCGGTAATGTAAGAAAGACTCTGTTTTCCGCACTTAGCCTCTCATTTGGGCCGTTGTGCGTAAAGATTTCGGTATGTAAACTAACAATAAAACCTACTCTTTGACTTTTTTCTTAATGTCTTCTACCCAAAAGCTGTCTGTCTGTCATCAGTTATTGTCTGTATGACCAGATCATAGTATAAGCATAATTTTTTTAATGGGTGATAATGGAATAGTAACCCCACCAGCGTTATCGGTATACACTGCCAGGGCACCAGTAAAGGATGATAGGTGAGGATGAAGCAGGTCAGTTAGCCCATTATAACAAATTCAACAAGAATTGTACACAATGGTTTCCAGGGGGAACCACATGAAGGTCGACCTAATAATGTTGGAAAGAAGTCACTTTATAAAGTGTAAAATGTCTATCTGTGTGACGCCGAGACGGGCCACTAGTTATATATAAACAATTATAATACATTTATTATAGTGATTGTATAAAAAAAAGAAACACTGACTTCTGAAACACAAGTTCTATCAAGCTCGAAGGCCAGAAAATTCAGAACATAATTGCTATACAACATATGCAAATAAAGAGATAGAGGAATTGCTGTGTGGTCCTGGCATATGGCCATAGGGCCACCCCTTTCTTTCCCATGGGTAAGAGGCGACTAAAGGAACTTAATGGCTGAGAAATGGGCAGTAGCTCTTAAAATACACAGCCTATGTTTAGCAGTAGGCAAATACTGATAGGGTACGAAGAAATGTTATTATTATTAAAAATTGCTTTATTGCTAAAATTTTTTGAAATGACTAACTAGTATGTCTTAGTGTATGCTGCAAGTTGTACTCAATTGACAAAAACATTCGGAACCAAGGAACAATATTATAAAAACTGACAACTAAAACAAATGTGAATAAAGATTCATAGTTTCTATTCCATATTCAAGCTAAACAGCATGATGAGCAGGTCATGAATAGATCAAGTTTAAACATATTACTATTCTCACTTCCATAAATAGGTAGAATGACATAAATTAATATACAAACAAAATAAATATTAGAATCACTATAGATAATAATTTCTCATTTGTAATGTGAATAACATTTAAATTAACATACATTAAAACACATTTTTTGCATGAAGATTAGTTAAAAAAAAATAAAAGCATATCAACTATTGAATTTTCTCTTAAATCTTTATAAAATTAATTTAATCTTTCACCACCATGTAAAGAAAATACTACAAAATATAAATTTGCTTTCATTCTAGCTACATACAAAAATATAGGAAAAACTAAGGTTCATATTTTTGTATAAACTTGTGTGGAAGCATAGAGAAACAGCATTGAAATTACTGAAATATACATTTTACTTACGATCCGTAATATCCTCGGTAATGCAGCGTTCCAGACTCAAATAATCTTGATGGAAAACTAACATAGGTCAGCTATAACTATGTAGGCACATTCATTGTCAATATCAATGGTACGTTTTCATACAATTACTGACAAAAACTAGCAATGGAAAGCGTAACAAAGGATAATTTCTCTAATGAACTTCCGTAAAGACTACGCAACAATGAAATACAATAGAAATATAACCTAAATAAAAGTTAAAGAAAAATCGATATCGAAGTGACATTTGCAACAATGGATATGTCTGATAATATGTGAAAAACTCACCTATTGAATTTGTTTTCCGTGGGAATGACTATCGGCTCGGACCCGGAGTTAGTACCTTCGCTTTTCCCCGTACGAATTGTGTGTTCTGGCGAAGAATCGGCTTTGAATGACTCTTTAGACGGGTCGATGTCATGACCCGATACTCTTTTCATAGAACATTTTAAACACTTTACACTCTCTGTTGGATTGATTTGGCCACATGTCTGACAATGCCATTGCAGCACCGATGCGATGGAGCCCATTTTAATTCACACATGGCTATGAAACCATAACAATACGCCGTTTTACGAAAACAAATATCTAATGAAGAAAAATGAAAACAGCTGATCCTCCATGTTGTTTGTGTTTAACTTTTTTAAAAATAGGTATAGGTGTTGCCATTTTGTTATAAACATTTCAGTCTAAAATGAATATAAGACTGAAGTACTACATGAAAAAAAACACATTGTAATAATAATTGATTAAAGTAATTATGTATTTTTAACAGCTTAATAAATTACTAACAACGCAAATTTCTGAAAATGAATGTCTAGAAAATCATTGAAGTCACTTTAAAATTAACGATACAATATTATTTAAATGAAAAAAGCAGTATAATATTTTTAGAAATATATTATCACAAAAACTTTGATAAACACCGGGCTGTGTCAGTCAAAACAACGATTAAGTTAGCAACACTGATGGATAAAAAATGTTCGGAATGTAGGTATTGTTAGATATATACATATCGATTGCATCGAATGGTATTGACAAATGCTATTGATACTTATAATAATTACAGTTATAGAAAATTGTATCAATTTTCAAAACAAATGAAATTACTATTTTATAAAATGTCTGTGACAAAATTTCATATATCTCCGTGAGTTGTTGCATTATGCATAGCAACAGCGACATCTATGACAAACTATTAAGACTATTCTAAGGTAAATAATCATGGGAGTAACCACCATTAATGCAATACTATCAACATAGAGGGTGGTAAAAAATATTGTTAATTTCTTAAATATAACGCCGTTGACTTCTACAGGTAAACGTAAGACTTTTTAAATAAAACTTGGTTTAAATAAAAAATGTAAAATAGCTGATGGAAAGATGTTTGCAGAAATCAGCAGCCTACGTATTTAATATAAAATGGAATTATAAGCCTTTTATCTTTATGGTATATACTGGCAGAATACGCGTCATGAGTAATTCAATAGGAATTAACAAGGTGATTTTAAGAAATTTAAAACTATCTCTTTTTTTATTTCTTATAGAAAATAGTGATCATTGCGATTGATTCTGAGCTTTAAGTTTTTCTCTAATATTTTAAATTGTTAGTTTAGCAAAATTACTATTTTATGGACTAGCATAAACTAAATTTATAATAAATTTTACTTAAATCTATTAGAAATTTAGAAAATAAAGACTTCATTGTGATATCAAATTGGAATTTTAGATATCAAGATAGAAACGGTGTCTCAGATTCGGTCCCATATTTAATAATTTATTTAAATTGGTCGCTGCATATAATTTTATTGGTGGATAACATTAATTATCAAAATACTGCTGTTCACCTGGAATTCAAAAACTCGAAATGCCTCCACTGCAGTCATTCGTAACAATTTAAACACAATAATTTTAAACCAGCCACCGGAAAATGGCGCGGAGATAAATTTTGAATCATTCACGTTTTAAAACAATAATATTTGTTACACAGCATTGTTGAAATTGCTATAATATCGCATTACATAAAGTGCATCTATCTAAAATTCTAGATAAAGTAAAATTTAAACTTAAAATGTTTTTTTTTTTTTTACAACACAAGGGACATACGAGCATGCAGCTCACCTGATGATAAGTGACTACCGCCGCCCGTGATCACCCACAACATCAATGGCATTGCAGGTGTGCTGACAGCCTTTTAAAAAGGAATATGCTCTTTTCTTGAAGGTTATGTTGTCGTATCGGTTCGGAAATATTGCTGCTGGAAGTTGATTCCAGAGAGTGGTTGTGCGTGGAAGCAAGTGCCATGAAAAACGCACGGTAAAAGACCGCCACTCATCCAGAGAATGAAATTTTAGGTCACATAAAAAGTAAAAAGGAAATATAAATTCAAATACGAGTAGTTTTATTCAAATAGACTTGTTTACGATCACACATAATGATTTATTATTTATGTAAATATTTATTTTAATTTCTGTTTAGCACTATTACTGCCCACTCACTACTTCCTATGCCACTGTGTTAGGTTGACTGGAAGAGATCTCTTTTATATATAAATCGTCTTTTTTTTTATAAATCTACTGTAGGGTTCGGAAAATTGTTATCTGATGAGAAATGTCTGCAAGAAACTCGACAGTTACTCTTTTAAATCTCTGTTAACTATATATGTATTTATTTAAATGTACTATGTCTAAAATTGCATGGTCGTTAAAAGTCCATATATGATTGACTAACACCATGCACAAAGGGGGAAAAGGGATTGTTAGTAATGGAGACTGAGAATCCTATTGCTAGCAATATACCCAACCAGGTCGACCTCCACGCGGTTCTCCCTGGAAACTGTCATGGTTAATTATGGGTTAACGGACCTGTTTTAATTCTCATCTATCACCCTTCACTGGTGCTCCGCCAGCGTATCCCGTTAACGCAGGTGGGCTTACCATACCATTTTCACCCATAAAACAAAAAACACCATGCACATTTATTATTCAAGTAATCGTTTAAAGTCTAATAGGCTGTGTTCAATAAGTATTTTAAATTTATTAAATGGCAGATTCAAAATATCAAAGCACCAAAGTACAAAACCAAAATGACCAGTGAGAACGGGACTTCAAAATGTGTATATTAACACCTATGCCTATTTAATTATGGACAATGTCCATTGCCTCGCGGGTAAGTGGACACGAGAGGCTATTGGATGCAGGCGCGGCATGTTACCATAAATTATATGGTGTGTAGACGTCAAACGCAAGGGAATTGTGTCAACGGGCCTCTGTATACGTTTTGAGTGGGTTTACATGAGGTCAGTTAATCATTTTGCATAGAACATAAAAAAATTAGAAGAAGCATAAAGGGAATTTTTGCATACCAGAAATACTGTGTTCGCAAACTTCACTTCTGCACTTCAGTATTATACGTCTTTTTTTAATGGATGATGATGGAACGGTAACCCCACCTGCGCTATCGGTATAGAATGGCGGGGCACCATTGAGTGATGATAGGTGATCATAAAAAGACAGGTCAGTTAGCCCATCGTGATGAATACACTTGGAATTCAGCATGATGGTTTCCAGGGGTGACCACGGGGAGGTCGATCTGGTTTTGCTAATAATGGGACCCTAAGTCTCCATTATTAATAATCCCTCCCCTTCCCAATATTATATGGTTGGTAGTTTGTAGTAGGTACTTACTTTTGACTTATTCGCTTATTTTTAAGAGAGTCATGCTTACTATATTGTCCAGACTGGTGGTGGCGTAGTGGACTTCCTATAATAAGGTCGAACACAACGATGGCTGGCTGCAGTTGATTTTTTTTTTATACATCTTAGAATGGCAAACAAGCTAACGGCCCACCTGATGGAAAGTGGTAACATTCTTGAGGACTCAGATGTTATTCCTCTGTACCCAGTAAATTTACGCTATATCCCACCCTTCAAACTGAAACACAGCCATGCAAACACAACTGCTTCACAGTTGAAACACGAATGGGACAGAGGTACCCAAGCAATCGACTTTTGTACAAAGTCTCCTTCTAGCTAGTTTATTGTATATAAAACAATAAGTAATTTATCTCCACTCAGTATTTAGACGAGCTGTTTTAATATTTACATATCAAGTAACTACATTTTATGTATGCTGCTCACGACAAAGGGTAACACCGTTAAAGAAAAGTAAACGCTCAATTTATAATATGGGTTCACGGGAGTTCGCACGTGAATGTTTTAAAGAATCAAACATCCTCCTAGTTTTCTATAAACATTTAAGCTAAGATAGATTTTAGGATATAATTCACTGAACTAGATAGATAGATACTCTTTATTGTTTCCTCCATAAAATTACAATAACAAACTTATTCTAAATACAAACAATTACAAGAAATATTACACTAAGAAAACAATGGGCAATGGGAAACATCAACATCTTGGCTTCGTTTAAAGGACAATTTAAATCACATTTTCTTTCACTGTAGTTACTCTTTTCCATTCCTATTTAATTTTTGGACTAGATTTGTCATATTTCCTTGTGTGTGCTGTGTATGTATTTATATGTGTATTGTTGTAGCAAGTAGTCTAATAAATTATATGTATTTGATATTTTTGTGCATTACAGGTTTTTGTATTTTATGCACGAAAAATTATTAATTCACTCTTGCGCCACCTGCCCACTTCTGTTTTCCTTTAACCAAAGATTGCCCTAGCGATAAGACCGCCTTTTGTACCTTTATGTGTATATTTCAATATGTATTTATGTTACTGTATTTTGCTTTAATTATTCACTTGTCACTGTATTATTTATGGTGCAATAAAGAGTTAAATAAATAAATCATCTTGGCCATTATCCGTCCACTCCTAAACATATACCTCCCCCAAAGACAGCCATAACAAATGGTCCTGAGCCACCTGCATCCACTGACTCCCTGCAATGCATTTGAGATCGCCACTCCATCTAGTGGGTAGTCCTACATTGCGTTTACCTGTACAGCGTCGCCACTCAAGGACCTTCCTTCCCTATCGGTTGTTAAATATTCGAGCTATGTGACCAACCCATTGCCACTTCAGCTTGCTTATCCTTATAAAAATTAAAAAAAAATCTCGAACTATTCCGCTCTGACCGACCGGACATACTTCCTTTGCCCTCGTGAATTGTAATAAAAAATGCTTTCATAATTTCTAGTACTTGCTATTGGCTGTCAAGGGGATTCTATGCTAAATTATCACCTTCGTTGTTTAAAAAATGTCACTAAAATACACGACAGTGCTTTTACAGCATCCATGTTTCCAAATGTCTATAATACCTATGTACTACATAAGTGCAAATATATATAGATAGAAAGAGAATAGCTGAGAGAATAAACTATTCACATAGATCACACTGCAAGATTGATTAGTTTCGTATATCGATATAAAAAGTATCTAGATACACAATCAGAGACTAAAACAGCATCCTGACCAAGAATCCAGGCTGGCAGATAGGCTGCTTTCTTTCTACAAGAAACATTGTGTTGTGTTGCATGTCGAAAAAACTCAACTATTACTGCAATTATAATAATTTGTAAAATAAAAAAAAGTGTGGGTCCTGGTAACCTTATTTAAACCTGGCGACCTAAATTGATCATTATTATTTCGTGTATTA